GGGGGGGGGGGGGGGGGGGGGGAGGGAGAGAGAGAGAGAGGAAAAGAAAAATCTTTTAATTATTACTATTTAACTATTAGAACTTTTTCCTATAAATTTAAAATTATAATTATTGTACATGAAACAGATATTTATCAGTCATAAATAAATTTTCTTATATATATTCTAGTAAATATTTTTATTAATTAAAATTAAAAAATATACAAATATTTAAAAATTCGTAATAGTAGTAATAGTAGTAATATTAAAAAATTCGTATAAGGAATAATTTGTATGAAGTAAAGTATATTAAATTTGGAACATATTTTATAAAAAATATTTAAATATTTAAATCTGTTTTGTCTAAAAAGGAATCAAAATTCAAAAATTATTTTACTTTTTTTTTATTTTATTTTTATTTATTTTATTTTTTATTATTGTCCTCGTATTTTTACAGATACTTAATGGAGGAAGACGGCTCGTTGACAATTAAGAAATTAAGTATGGATGACTCGGGAATGTTTCAGTGTCTCGCGTCCAACGAAGCTGGCGAATCATCTAGTTACACCTGGTTAAAAGCGAAAAGTGAGCAATTTTTCATTGTTTCCATAATATATCGCGGAATTTTAAAAATAGTGAAAAATTATTACCCAATCCATACACAGAGTGTTCGCAAAACACGCGTAAAATTTATTTATTTTTTTTAAATACCATATAATCTTTATTATTTTATAAATCAAGACTTTTATAAGATGGGAAAAAATGAGAAATATCATAAATACTTGCTAATATATAATCAGTTTTGAATACAAAGGATTTAAAATTTATATATTGTCTATTCGTTGTCTTTTTTGATCGGTATAATATAAATTACAACATAAATAATTTCCTATATTAATAGTAACATTGGCAAATTATACACAGATATAGATATTTTGTAGATATTATTTAAAGGAAATCGCGTTTTTCGCGGACACTTCGCGTAATAATGTCGCAAACAGAGTTAATATAAATGACGTATTTTTTGTGTGCGGCACAGAAAAAGGATTAGGAAGCAGATTGAGAAACAGAGTTGCCCGCTGGGCGGCTGGCTACAATGTAGTCAGAGTCCGCCAGTCTGATCGCCGTTTTATGTTCTCTCAATATCCAAACAGTAAGAATAATGTAGCGAGATTTCCACACTTTTCTTTTCCATTATAATTTTCGGCACATGCTTGAAGACTGCGTATAAATTTCACTTCACGATTTTTGCTTCTAGCAAATTTTTGCATAGCTCTAATAAGACAAATAGCACTATGTTGAATATCAGCGTTTTAGAACATTTATTATTACTCCATGTTTATAGAATTTTAGCGCAAGACATTGATTAATTGTGCCTTCTTATATTTAATGATTATTAATTTTAATTGTATACATATAGTTTATAGTGTTTTTCTATATTATAGAATGAATGCCGTACGATTTTTAAAGAAAAAAATTTTTTAACGAAACGATTTGTCGATTTTGATGTAATTATTCTTAGCACGCGTCTGCGACATTGCAAGTAATACTGACACGCACGTCCTATTTCCCTATATATATTAGGGATATATTTCCTTTAATAAGATTTTGTTTCTGGATGTTTCACGATAAATACTATTAATATTTAGTATTTAGTGATTTATTTTATATGGCATTTATGTACTTATGTACTTAATTCTAAGTTTGCGTAGTTTTGCTATTAAATATGTGTTTGTGTTATGCTTAAAACATAAGCTTGTATTGGAATCAACATAAAGAAATAGAGAAGAGGTGAGAATTACAGATGGGTTTAATACATTGCAAGCGACGATTGATCACCCCTTTTTTCATTTGCACGTTGTGAAAAAACATTAGATATAGAGATTTAACGTTAATGACGAAACTTTTGTCTGTAATTTACAGCATCTGGACCGATAATGGAAAACGGACCACAGAATTTAACAGTATTAGACGGCAAAGATGCAACTCTAAGTTGCAATGCGATCGCAGCGCCTAAGCCAAATGTCACTTGGTATTATAACGGTAATTAAATCAAAGCAATTGTATCTTTATATTTTTTATATTTTTATGTATATGTATATAATATAAATATAATATAAATATGTATATAATATGTATATAATATAAATATGTTATAAAATTTTAATTCACTTGTATAGTTTTATATATATATATATATATATATATATATATATATATGATTTTTAAAAATTAAGATATACAAAGATTAATATTATTACCAAATGCGCATTTACAAATGCAATTAAATGTAACAAATGTTTACATTTAATTGCAGATACAATGTCTGTGGAAATCGCTGGGAGAGTACAAGTCTTGGACAACGGGGATCTTTTAATTGCAGCGGTGAAACCGTACGATGCAGGAAAATATACTTGCATCCGCGCGAACGAAGCCGGTTCTGTCAATGGATCGGCATACTTAATTGTTATGGGTGATTATTGACAATATTTAGAAATAAAAATCGAGCGAATTATGGAATCATTTTTCTTAAGTCAGAAATCGGTTTTTTGCTCGAACTTTGGTGACAAATGCATTGTGCAGTCTGTTGTATATAATCTGCATCTATTACAGTTCGGACTCAAATTATCCATCCACCTGTTGATACGTCTGTGCTTCTCGGGCGTACCGCTGAATTGCAGTGTAAAATTTCGAACGATCCCAGCATCGTATACGATATGGCATGGTTTCATAATGGACAGTACGTATAAAGAGAAATATTATATATGCAAATAATATCAATTTAAAGTTTAGAGATCAAAAATTTAATAAATTTTTTTAATGTATCTGGTATTATTTTTTGAAACAGCGAATTAATTAAAATCTGATCTACTTAAAATATTTAAGAATTATTCACATTATGCAGAGTTTTTATTAAATTTATCAATTAAATTATTGATTTATAATGTCAGGAAAATCACGAGATTCTGGTGACTTTTCCGACGCTTAAAAATCTTAAAATGATACGTTCTGTACGTTCTGTACGTTATTACAGAGTAATAAATACGCAAGCGAGTCAAAGAGTGAAAATGCGGTCAGATGGCACTCTCGAGATTGTTACCGTTCGAGCTTCCGATGTGGGCGAGTATACATGCTCCGTAGTGTCACCAGGTGGCAACGAAACGCGATCTGCTCGTCTGAGCGTGATCGAATTGCCGTTCCCACCGATCAACGTCGTGGCCACGCGGGTCGAGAGAATCTCGCCGCGCACGATTAATGTCACATGGGTGCCCGGCTTCGACGGCAATAGTCCTACAAAAAAATTTATAGTCCAGAGACGAGAGGTATCCGATCTAGGTAAGTGTAGTCTTCAAATATAAAAATTTAAATGTAAATTTTATAAATGTAATATAAATCAAAAAATAAATTTAAAATGTAAATTTCATAAATATAATAATTAAGTTAAATATATTAGTTATATTTATATTTTCTAATATATATATTTTTTAACGTAATTGTGAGTTGTTATCATATATGTATGAAAAATACTACAAATTTTTGATTGAATGTAAGTCGATATTATATTTTTTATATCTCTATAATATAAAAAATATAATTTACTGTTATATTGCAAATAGGACCAATACACGACCCAATATTAAATTGGATTACCGAACGTGATAATGTATCCGCTACCAGTCGATGGATATTGTTGAATAATTTGAAAGCCGCGGCGTCTTATCAATTTCGTGTTAGTGCCGAGAATAGCGTTGGTGAAGGTCCATCGTCAGCAGCTAGCAATATCGTTGTTCTACCCCAAGAACGTAAGTGATTAGGAAAATTAATCAAGTGATTATAATAGGAAATATAACAATATAATATGTTTTTGTTGTATTTTCACTAAAATATAGGCAAATTTATAGCTCAATTTCTGACGTGTATGTTGACATTCCACTTCATTTAACGTTTTATTTTTATTTTTAGCGCCTAGTGGTCCGCCCATTGGCTTCGTCGGCTCAGCACGTTCATCATCGGAAATAATAACGCAATGGCAACCTCCATTAGAAGAATACCGAAATGGCCATATCTTAGGATATATATTGAGATATACGCTTTTCGGATATAATGATAGCCCATGGACGATACAAAATATCACCAATGAAGCGCAAAGAAATTATCTCATTACAGATTTAATCACATGGAAAGATTATGAAGTGCAAATAGCGGCTTACAATGAGAAAGGTGTGGGTATATATTCAAAGGGCTTGCAAATAAAAACCAAGGAAGGAGGTAAATTCACGTTAGGAATTAGAATATTTATTATTATTATTTTAATGAATGTTATAAATCAGTTAAAGATAAATAATTTTTTAGTCCCAGAAGCACCTCCCACAAACGTGAAAGCAAAAGCAATTAATTCAACAGCGGTAAAAGTTTGGTGGAAACCACCGAATCCTCAGAAGATCAATGGGATTAATCAGGGATACAAATTGCAAGCCTGGATTGGCGACAATTTTACAGATGCGACTGAATATAAATCGATGACTGTGCCGCCAAGTTTATTCGATCCGCTCGCCGAGCAGAACGCTATTATGATAGGTTTAAGAAAATACACTTTGTATAATATCACGGTGCTCTGCTTCACCGATCCAGGTGACGGTGAAAGGAGCTCGCCTGTCGAAATTCGCACTTGTGAAGACGGTACGTTTATTTACAATAACTAGTTAAGAATTAATTAATTACGCTACGTATTTTCTAATTAAAAGATAATTTCTTTAATGTGTATTTTCTGGTTTTTCATTTAGTAAAGATAAACTTATTATTAAAAACATTATTTATCTTTATATATGTATTACGATTTTAGTACCTGAAGAAGTGGAGAATCTACAATTTGAAGATATCAGTGATCGTGCGCTAACAGTTAAATGGTGTCCTCCCAAAGAGACCAACGGAATACTGACATATTATCAACTGAAATACATGATTAAAGACATTCCGGATTCTTTGCGCGTCGAGAACTTCACGGCTGATGTGTTATCGATTAAAGTAGAACATCTTCAGGTAATCATCGATTTTAAGTAGAAATTATAAAAGAAATATAATGAAAAGTCTAAAAATTAGAAGTTATAAAAAAGATAACTTAAAGGATTAAATGACTATTTCTTATTTTGGTTTTTCTTAGGCATTGACTCACTACAAGTTTGAAGTAACTGCTTGGACATCAGTTGGATCTGGCAAATCAAAAATAGCGACCATACAATCAGGCGTCGAACCGGTGTTACCAGAACCACCCACGAAGTTAGCGTTATCCAACATAGACGCGTTCTCCATTGTGTTGCAGTTCACGCCAGGATTTGATGGAAATTCATCCATCACGAAGTGGACAGTGCAGGTTAATTAATCTATATCAATGCTTTCTTTAAAAAAAGAGATTATTTATTGCATATTTATACATAATACAATTTTTAAACTAATGAAAATTCTCTTGAAACAAAATTTATATCAAATATATCTGTTTGCTCTCTTTCAAGGCTCGAAAAGTATTACGTTAAAGTATTTTGTAAAATTTATTTTCAAGACATACGAGATTCGATGTGATGGATAGAAGATAGAAAATAAATCAGAAGAAGTAATATGTGCATTACTATCAATTTTTTAGGCACAAACGGCACGAAACTCGACGTGGTACACTATATACGAAGTATCCGATCCCGACGCTAGTACGATTACCGTTGACGGTTTGACTCCTTTCATGCAATACAAGCTTCGTTTGATCGCAAATAACGTCGTCGGTGCTTCAGAACCCTCTGAACCGACCAAAGAGTTTCAGACGATTCAGGCACCACCCTCGCATCCTCCAAAAAACGTCACAGTTCGCGCGATGAGTGCTACCGAATTACGCGTTAGATGGATCGTAAGTATCGTTGTTGAATCGTTATGTAAAAAATATAATTTTTTTATTAATCACTACTAAGAATATCAATTAAAGATATTGTATGGTATAACATACATAGATTATACTATATAAATTATATGTATAATATATGTATAAGAGTTATACTGTTTTCTGCAGCCATTGCAACAAATAGAATGGTACGGAAATCCACGAGGATACAATGTTACTTATACGGAAGTACGATCGAACATATCGAAGAGTAGTATTATCGAGGATCATACTGCAAACTCGTACATTTTGGAAAATATGGAGGAGTTTGCTGATTATGAAATAGTGATGCAAGCATTCAATGATGTTGGCTCTTCAGCAGCGAGTCCAAAGGCTATTGAACGAACTCGTGAATCAGGTGAATCTTTTAAACATAATTGAACATAATTAATCAAAAAGGAACCAATTCTAAGAAGCAATTTTTCGAATATAGTTATTTTAGATTTTTGAAAGATATCAGAGTGTTTAATGTATATTTCTAAAAATTGATTTGATATTAATTTAATTATTTTATATTGTTAAAACTCAAACGTTGCGAAACAGATGACATAAAATCACTTTTAAATGTTTTCTACATACAATTTTGTAAGCTTTACAAATATATATAATATCTTTTAGTTCCTTCCCTGGGACCGATAAACGTAGAAGCAAACGCAACTTCCTCTACGACTATTCTGGTGCGATGGGGTGACGTACCTGTAGAACATCAAAATGGACAGATTGAAGGCTTTAAGGTATATTACGGTGCGAATTCCAGATCAACTTTTCAGTACAAGAACATTCCCAGCAATACCACTTTCACAACCACTTTAACGGAACTTCGCAAGTTCGTCCAGTATCATGTACAGGTTTTAGCCTACACAAGACTTGGTGATGGAGCGCTGAGCACTCCACCCGTGAGAGTCCAGACCTTCGAAGACAGTAAGTGTACTTATTGCAATTGAACCTTTTCTAACGATAATAGTCGAGTTGTGTTATAGATTATACTTTAATCATATAATTGTATGTTATTTATTAAATCTATTGTTTTATATACATGTGAAATATATATAAAACATACAATGCAAAGCTAAACAAAAATAAAATAAGATTCCATGATATCGTTATAATATATTCGATTTTGTTTCATAGCTCCTGGTCCACCATCTAATGTATCTTTTCCTGATGTGAGTTTAACCACAGCGCGTATTATCTGGGACACACCAGAGGATCCTAACGGGGAGATTCTTGCATACAAAGTTATGTTTAACTTAAACAACAGCCAAGATTCTCCTTTTTCTAGAGAATTTCCAGCGTCAGATAGAACATTCAGGTACAAAGATTTCTTCTTATATATTTATCCATCTCGCTGAAATTTTATAAACTCTCTCAACATTTAAATAATAAATCTCCTTCTAGATTGAGATGTATTAGGATTATATATAACAAATAAATAAGTTTTTGAATAAATATCGCTATAATTTTGCCAATTGCAGAGCCACCGAACTCAAGTCCGAAAAGTATTATATGTTCTCTGTAACGGCACAAACGAAATTGGGTTGGGGTAAAACAGCTTACGCGCTTGTATTTACCACGAACAATAGAGAACGTCCTCAAGCACCATCGGTACCGCAAGTGAGTAAGTCACAGATTCAGAGTCGTCAGATAACGTTTAGCTGGACACCAGGTAGAGACGGTTTTGCACCATTAAGGTAACATTTTTCTTGCTTATTGGGATTATTTCTATTAAACTGCATATTACCTATTAAACTGCATATTAATCTCTCTTTTTGCTCCGATAGATATTACACAGTGCAACAGTCAGAAAATTCTGGACCATTCCAAATTATTCCCGAAAGAGTGGAACCCATTCTGACGTCTTACACGGCTAATAATTTAAAGCCTTACACACACTATCAATTTCGCATTCAAGCTACCAACGATATAGGTCCATCAGAATGGAGCAGTGAGTCTGCTCAAGTACAAACTCTGCCTGCAGGTATATATTAAAGATAAAATAATATGAAACTCTCAATGAAATATTAAAAAGGAAATATTTAGAAAAATTAAAAATCAGAAATTGAAAATTGAAATTAACATTAGCAAAAATATTACATTTTTATAGCGCCATCAAAGGGCGTCACCGGCCTGAAAGTTGTCCCAATAACAACATCCAGTGTTGAGGTTCATTGGAACATGATCGACGAGGTACATTGGAGTGGTGATTACGAAACTGGTGGTTACCGTGTTGTTTATCAGCCGGTATCGGATTTCCCAACACCTCTTCAGGCGACGCCGAAAGAAGAGATTCTAGGAATTAAAGTGTGTATAGATATCTCTTTCTTATATGTCAAATTTTGTTTAAATTTTATAATATAATATATTGAGATTAATTTGCAGTATTTTATAAATTTAATATAGTTAACACAATTCATTCTTGTTGCAGCAAACCAAAATGGTCTTAAGCGACTTAACAGAAGATCGATATTACGAGATTGTAGTGCTTCCATTTAATTCAGAAGGTGAGGGTCCACCGAGTCCACCAGTCACTGTGTACGTGGGAGAGGCAGTTCCTACGGGGGAACCCCAGCATCTAAAAGCCGAGCCTATTTCTTCTACTGAGGTTCATTTGCATTGGAAACCTCCTCAAGCTAATATGCAAAACGGCGATTTATTAGGATATAAGGTAATAAAATAATTTCGCTCAGTTACATTAGTAATAGATTACTTTATATACATATATATATATATATTTTGATATACTTTTTATGAATTCAATAATAGATTATAATCGCGATAAATTCATATTTTTATTTTGCGTATTTAGTAATAGATTAATCGTTATAAGTTGATCTTTATTAATTTTATGTGTTTATTATAATATTCTCGATTTTATTGCAGATTTTTTATTTAGTAACTGATTCTCCTCAAGATTTAGAGAAAAAACAGGAAGAAGAGATAGAAGTCGTTCCAGCGTCTTGTTTGACGCACAACTTAGTCTTTCTTGACAAGTATACAGAATATCGCATACAAGTTTTAGCGTTTAATCCGGCCGGAGATGGTCCACGATCTCCGCCAATTACTGTGAGAACGAAACAGGTAATTTTCTTAGATATATTATGTCGTAAATATTCTATGATAATAGCAATGTTCAGTGTTAATGTTTTTTTCGATAAAAACACATGTTTATAAACGGTATTCAACGTAATTGCAGGATATACCAGGACCACCATATCATTTGCAATTTAACGAAATTACCATGACCAGCTTGCGCGTTTCTTGGAACCCTCCGAAGTTACGCAATGGCGAGATAGTTGGTTACATCGTTACTTATGAAACTGCAGAGCAAAATGATCGTAAGACAAATCAAAGTATTAAAAAAAATTATTTAACGTTAAGAATTTAACTTTACATTTTTTAGTTATTCTTTTATTAACTATTATTATTTTTTTAATTTCGTCTTTTTTTATTATCGTCCGAATATTGCGCTTTAATTAATATATACTCAAATATTGTTTTTTATGACACGTTAATTTTATTCTGAGAAAAGTTCATACATATATTAAACTCACTTTGCAAAGATTTAATTATGATATATTTCATATTTATCTTTTTGCTAACTTGTTAACGTTTTATCTAAGGTTTTAGTAAACAAGTTAAACAAAAAGTGACGGAGACGAGTCTTCTTATTCAACCGCTGGAAGAGGAAGTGACGTATACTTTCATGGTTCGCGCGCAGACGATCGACTTCGGACCGCCGATATCTGGCAATGTTACAACTGGTCCGCAAGAAGGTTCGCCGATGGAGCCCAGCAATCTCGGCGTGACCAAGACAGTCTCTAGTGTGGAACTGCAATGGACCAATGGTGCTTCCGGCAAAGGTCCTATACTGGGTTACTACATCGAAACTCGTCGTAAAGGTAAATATATGATCTTTATACACGATCGTTTATATTTATTTCAAAGGAGTTTAAAAAATCTCTTATAGCACCTGTTCAAAATTTTTTAATATTTTACTTTATTTATCGAAATTGCAATAGAAAATACAAAATGTAATGCGATTAATTTCTTTTATTATAATTAGTTTATGAAATAAATTTTGATTGTATCGAGAGCATTTGTGGGAGTTGCAATTTCACAAAATAAAAATATACAATATATATATATATATATATATTTTTTTTTTTAATAAATTCAGCGTAATATCATCATATTATTTTACATTTGCGTCCAACTCGACTAGCGGTTCTGCTAACACTAATACCGTCTTTTTTATAACTGTATAGCGATGGAAGAATGGCAGCATTGTAAGTGTCAACACACGTAATTATGCTGAGCATCAGTCATTGCATTTAGATGGTTTTGATAGTAAGATCCCTGTTAGCGTAATAATATCGCTTTTGACAGTCCGTTGTATATACTACTATGTGTACCACGTACCATGGTCGTTCGAAAATTCCAATAATTTGCATGATAATGTCATAGCATGACATCGCCAGAAATCCATTTTATATGTTCAAGCAGGATTTTACTGAAAATATATTAACTTCATGTAGCGCTATAACATGATTGTCTATATCATTCTGACAAAGAAATGATTGATTATACTAGCGTGATTTGTTGTACTGTCCATTGGTAACGCCACAGTTTTTGTTATTTAGCCTCCCCTTCCCTACAATTAATCTCGTTTTTAACATTTTGGCGTGCAGATGTGTGCACACACGGTATTTCCCATATGTCGTATAATAGCAAAACCAAAAATACCGATGTTATTCTTCAAAACATTTCACACAGAAAATGGCCGGCACTCAAAGTATTAAAATAATCATCAGACTAATACGAGCTCCTACTTATTTGTTATACATAATGTCTTACTTCTATCGTATTATTTTTTATAACATTCTTTGGCTAATTTGAAATCAACTTTTCCTTAAGAAAAACGCTATTAACGCTAAACTTGAGTGATGAAAGTGGAGGATTTCTAACAAATTAAAAGAAAAAATGAATAGCGAAATTATACTTTTTAGGATTCCAAAACATTAACAGCTAAATATTATATTATAATTACAATCAAAATTCTATAATTCATAATATAATAATATAATTTATAATATAAGCTAGTTATATTTTATAATTTTAGTTTAGAAAAAGAATATACAGTAATTTTTTTATTATAATAAATAAATTATATAAAGTTGATCTTTTACAAAATTTGATTTATTTATTTAATTGAGAGATATATTGGAATGACAATTTCGAGGAAAAGTCGATTCCAAATTGATTCAAGAATCTGGCATTGAAAAATCATGTTGTACAAATGGGATATTCCGTATAAAAGAATTCGATTATACATATATATATGTAAAAACAAAATAATGTGTTTTCCGGAAAGGGAAAACTTTTTCCTTTGCTATTTCAAAAATTATAACATATATTTATTATGTATGTAATTGTAGATGATTCGCGCTGGCAGACAATAGTTCGTACCAGTAATGGACCACTGACTGAATATACCGTGTCTTATCAAAATTTACTGCCGTCCACATCGTATTTGTTCAGAGTAATATCATACAATCGTTATGGAATCAGTTATCCAGCATATTCTACCGAAACAGTAAGTCTATTAAAAAAGTCTATTAAAAAAAAAATGATTATTCATTTGAACATTAAATTTACTTTGTGTATATTCATTATTTTAATGTTACACTTTCATACATACATTTATTTATTTGAAGACACATAATCTATTGCGAGCTAACATATTTTATTAATGGAATCATTTTACTAGATTTTGACACCATCGAAACTATACCTGGAATACGCATATCTACAACACAGGCCATTTTACAGACAGACCTGGTTCATGGTTACTTTAGCCGCAATATCAATTATAATTATCATTATGGTCATAGCAGTATTATGCGTGAAGAGTAAAAGCTACAAATATAAACGTAAGTTGAGTTTAATGTGCATATAAATTAATTCCTATGAAAAATCAAATTATGTTAGTAGATCACTTATCTACAATTTGTGACATATAATTTATATATTAATAATTATACTATAGAAGAGGCACAAAAGACTCTGGAAGAGTCGATGGCGATGGACGCGGATGACAGGCAAGAATCGGATTTAGAATTGTACAGGTCACGTCAGGGTGGAGGTAGTGCCGTTAATGCAGCAAGTGGCACTCTGGGTAAAAGAAATACATTGGCCCGAAAGGTAATGCATCCTCCGCCACCCACTATGCTGGGCAAATCGCCTCCTAGGCCTTCTCCAGCGTCGGTCGCCTATCACAGCGATGAAGAGAGCCTCAAGGGATATGATGAGAATCCTGACGACAGTAGTGTCACAGAGAAACCCTCCGAAATTAGTTCTACCGATTCTCAGGTGAGTCTTCGTAAAATGTATGGCAAAACGCATCTCTGACAACGTGATCTCATCTCAATCTCATTTTTATTTCACAGGGTTCTGAGAGCGAGAACGAGAGTGTGCAATCCGATCCACATTCCTTCGTGAATCACTATGCGAACGTCAACGACTCGTTAAGACAATCGTGGAAACGGCAGAAACCCGTCCGAAACTATTCATCATACACGGACTCCGAGCCGGAAGGCAGCGCGGTTGTCAGTCTGAATGGCGGTCAGATCATCATGAATAACATGGCCAGATCGAGAGCGCCGCTTCCTGGTTTTTCGTCATTCGTGTAATGAAATGAATTATCAAGATTACGTTATAAGATAGGAATTTTTTTTATTCCTACATCAAAATTAATATCGCAGCTACTTCGTTCTTAGCGAAGTCTTTTTATAAATATACGTATATAGAGCGAAAGACTTACGTTGGGAACACGTGTTTCGTATTCCCGCGACGGCATAGACTTATAGCAAACTATAGGAAGCTTCAGGCATCTTCGTATTGTGATATATTGATACATATATTATTTATAATTTTCGAGAAACATTTTGCATTTAATAGACTTTTGTACTTTCTCGGATTAGTTTAAGAATCAAACAGCGTACGAACCTCGTACGAATATGTTACAAATTTCGTGCCTGTACAGAGCAGAAGTCCAAATATTCTTTTTTTTTTTTTTTTCAGATATTTTGGTCTTAAACTCTTCTATTTTTCAGCTACAATTATAGATACATGATTATATTCGATCCTGAGGATCTTGTACTCTTTAAAGGTATTTATATCGTCGACATATTTATAAACGATAATTGGGATCGTGATATTGCAGAATTTTCAGAAAAAAATATCAATTCACACTCAACATAGCAATTGTTGGCCTATCATATCATTTTATTAATCCAGTAAAACTTTATTATAAAGATCGCGAGTTGTGAGGCACTGTATAAATCCACTCTTATGCTGGCGTATTTGCACGTCAGATATGCTTGTAAATATGTTATATATTTTCTGTAAGAATGTAGATTTTGTATAATGCTGCTATATATGTATTCTGCGGACTATATCTATTGCATTCGCATTTTGTGATAATACAGTAAATGCTCCATAGTTGTGGAACTTACATTTTACTAAACTGTCACGAATACGGAATCGCGATTCTGAAAAGTAAAATGTGTGTAGAAAGAGTAAAATTTTTCATAAAAAATATATATAAAGTATTAGTTA